AAAATGTATTGTGTATATGTAATAACATCTCACGATAAATATAATCAGCTATGTACTGCAAACATATACTAATAGATAAAAAAGAACTCTTTGATTAGATGATATTTGGGCATAAAACTGGATGACAAAAGAATCAGCCCTGTAAAATGAGCTATGTAAAAATCTGTGATCAGCAAGTATTGACAGTCATCAGGATTTGGGACCCTCTTTACCTGAGAAGAGGCCAATCATTTTAGATATTTACAGCCAGAGAAACATGCTTCTAAAGCCCTTATTGTACACCCTTCCTTCAAGCATTTTAATGGAGACCATGGAACAACTGATATTTTAATATATTATGATGAGGTATCACATTTAAACATGTTTCCTTGAATATTACACCAACCACCTTATGCAGGATATTAAAGTGTCATACAAAATCTCTTAATACTCATCTTATTCTCTGGGGTACTTCCTAGTTGACCTCATATTAGCAAACCCTTTAAAGAATTATTTTAAAAACAAGTATAGCTTCATGGAAAGTAGTAAAACATATACAGGGAGGTTCCAAGTACACCTCACCCAGTTCCTTCTGATGGTAACATCTTAGATAATTATAATGCAATAGCAAAACAAAGAAATAAAGATGTCAGTACCACCCTTGGCACTTATTTAGATTCCACTAGTTTTATTTGCACTTCTCTCTGTAATTGTATGCAATTTTATGTAATCACTACGGCAATCATGACTTAGAAGTGTACCATAGAAGCCTTGCTGTTCATTTGTAGCCACACCTTCTCCTTCTGCTCATACCTAACCTTTGATAACCACTAATGCAAATTGTTTCTGTATTTTATTTCAAGAATATTTTTATGGTCCTGGGGATTAAACCTAGGATCTCATGTTTTGTAAGTGCTCTATGCTTAATTACAACCCCAGTCCTATTTCAAGAATATTTTATAAATGGAATCATACATTTTTTACATAACGTAATTCCCCTGAGATCCATTCAGATTGTTGCATGTATGGGTAGTTCATTCTGTTTGTTTAGAAAGTAGCATTCCATAGTATGGATGTACCACTATTTAACCATTCATCAGTTGAAAAAAAATTGGGTTGTTTCCAGCTTTGGTTACTATAAATAAAGCCACTATGGACATTTCCATGCAGATTTTCGTGTGAACATAAGTTTTCATTTCTCGAGGAATAAATGTATAGGAGTACACTGGACAGTTCATATGATAAGCAAGCACATATTTAGTTTTTGTAGAAAACTGCCTATTGGTTGAGTGGCTGTATTATTTCACAATCCCATCTGCAACACATGATTTATCCAGATTCTTCATATCCTCACCAGCATTTGGTGTTATCACTATTTTAAAAAGCCATTCTGATGGTTTAAGTGTGATAAGATATTCTGATATCTCATTGTAATTTTCATTTTCCCATTGGCTAATGATGTTGAACATGTGTTCATGTGCTTATTTGCCATCTGCAGATACTCTTTGGGAAATGTCTGCTTATGTCTTCTGGCAGACTTAAGAGTTCACTTCTTTCTCTATAAAAATTTTCCAGCAAGGTTGGGTCCATTCTTATGAACTTCAGCTGGCTCTAATCTTAAGGAGAGCAATTGGTCCATGTGCATGGATAGTTTTCCTAGAGTTAAAATAACATATAATGTAATAATATCTGATATTCTTTCTCTGTGAAAACGGAGAAAATACATGTTACCAAAAGCCCTACTAACTGGAGATTACTATTATTTAGTGGGCATATGTCTAGATTTCTTACTGTATCTTCTGTTTGCATACTTTGCACACTTAAAATACACCAACAATGTATACACTTGGTATGATACTATTCTTACCTTGTTTCTTACAAGTATGTTTCTGTCAACATTCCATATTAGTATAGGTCCTCATTCTCATTTTAATGCTTGCATAGTAACTCGTTGCATGTGTTTACTTGACTAGCTTCCCTATCAATGGCTAAGTTATTTTGATATTTTGCTATTATAATAAAGCCTTAATGAATATTCTTGTGAGACTAGCTTTTCAGATTTTTATAATTATGTTCTTAGATTAAATCACTAGAAAAAGTCATATATATGAAAATATATATCTATATATGTGTGTACACTGATACACATACACGTTTGTAGATGTTTACAAACTCCCTGATTTGAAAGATTTATGCTTCTACCTGCAGTGGCTGAATGGGGTTTTTGAAAGGTTACTACCTTTGTTTGTATCCCCCTTTCAACAAATCTTTTTCTTTTTCTTTTAGAGATTGGAAAACATAAATCGAAGTAAACTTTTATTGTTTATAACTTTTATTCTTTTTTTTTGGAACCAAATAAATCCAAGTAACCTTTTATTGTTTATAACTTTTATTCTTGTTTTTTTTTTTTTTTGTACCAAGAATCGAACTCAGGACTTTGCACTTGCCAGGCAGGCAACTGTGTCACTGAGCTATATCCCCAGCCCCTTGTTTATAACTTTTAAAGCATTAACTGACTCAGGGATTTTTAATGTTAGGTCATTAAAAATTCTGTAACATGGTCATCATCCTTTGTACACTAGTTGTCCAGCCTGCTACTGCAATACTGACTTTGAATGGGGAATGATAAGGACAAACTGCACATCAGTGACTTGTACTTGTGGACAGAAGAATTACAATTTGGAGGGGATAAAACAGCCCTATGTTACTACCAACAGCCCCAAACTCCACAGATGGAAAGTGTGTAAACTAAATGAAAAATAGCCACCCCTACAGTACTTGCAAAAGGTAGATATTTAGCTGTAAGTTGGATAGTATTGCAGTTTGGAGTCATTTGAGTTTTTTTTTTCTTCATTTGCTCAAACTGTGAATGCTAGAGCATTTTAATTATGATCTGGAGAAAGATATACAGTATTCCCAAATTTGAAACATGAGCTTTTTGTAGTCCTTAGGATTACTTTCCAAGGCCCAAAAGAAATTTGTGTGGGGTTGTTTTTTTGTTGTTGTTTTTTTTTTTGGTCTTTTTGAGACAGGGTCTTGCTATGCAGTTCAGGCTTGCCTTGAGCTCACCCTGTAGCCCAGGCTGGTTGCAAGGATCCTCCTGCCTCAGCCTCCCAAGTGCTGGAATTACATGCATGCACCACCACGCACAGCCATAGGAAATTCGTCTTAATGTACCTGATGTTTACAAGATGACAATATATTTTTGCCTACAAACTTTCTCAAATGGATTAAGAAATCCATCTTGACGCAAAATAGTATGTTTTAGTATTTAGTAAACGTGTTTGCAATTTACCACCTAATACTGGATACAGATTTATTTACAGTAACGAATTTATTTCTGTCTTCCTTAGCAGAATTTTTTTCATTGCTGTTTAGGAATTAACTGTTCATACTTCTAATTTTTTGGCAGCACCTCTCCCCTCAATCCCACAGAATTTTTTCTGGATTGTAGAAAACTACTACGAAGTGTTTATATTTAAACGTAACTGTCCTTGTAACTAAATTTATGGCAGTAGATATAATTGGAATTTTGTAGCTAATGCAAATCTGTTTTCCTATTAATATTGTAGTAAAATACCTCATTACATAGGGCTTTATCTTCCGGGCACTTTAACCTCTATTAGTTTCTGCATACAGCTATTAAAGACAGATTTCTAGCGTTAGCCAAATGCAAGACAAGCAGGTGGTGTGGTAGAGGGAGGTGAGCGGGACCAGGCCTCAGTTTCTGGTGACTTTGGTCAAATTCCTAGTATCTTGGCTTTGTTATCTTAAAGATCATGAAGTTCCATTGCAAACCTCAGAAAGAACTTTCAAATATAAAATTATATGAAATAATTCATATGAAAATAATTATATGAAAATAATTCATGAATTTATGTAAAACGAAAATTTAGTTTTTTAATGGGCATTGTGCTTTCAAAGGTAAACTGGAAACATTTAATTTTGAAAAACATGCTGACTGCGCACAAAATGTAGTACAATGATACAGTAAACCACAGAAGCCATTATTATTTATTTGGCATGCAGAGAAAAAAAAGTTTACCCTTATATCTGAAGTCCTCAGAATGAGTAATCATAATTCTCTAATTCTCACTATTGTCTCTACGACCTCAGACTTTTAGGGCTATTTTTATACAAGCCCAAACAAATGGAGATGAAAAATCTCTTAATCTTTATTTTAGGTCGGTGTGCGGGTCTAGGACTCACAGCACTCCTGGGGAAGGGGGTCTTCAGCAGTTTCCAGACTGGCTGACTCTATCTGCAGCGAAACAGGGAATGGAAGGGGGCTCCCCATAAAGGACTCGATCAAAGAGGGTGCCTACTGCAGCTGCAGGGAAAGGGCATGGAACTCCACCATCGAGGTAACTCTCCATCACTTCGCCCGCCGGCTCTGCAGCCGGGGTGCCACCGCACCCCAAGAGCGAGGGGGCAGGCCCAAGAGTGCGGGCACCAGGCGGCCGGCCCCTCCCAACCTGAGAGTAAGGAGGCGGGGATGTTCTGCAGACACTTCTAGAGAGACCTTCGCCCTAACCGAAAAGGGGGTTGGAGTGTGCCCGCTCCGGACTTAGGTCAGGCCCTCCAGCTCGCGTGGCGCCGGCACCGTCTCCTCGCCGGGAGGGACAGTCGGGTGCGGCGGTGAGCACCGCGCCTCGGACCCGCGCACACGATTGGTTTGCATTCCCGCCCACAGGTGGAGGCGAGGTCCGGAAAAAAACTTGCAGCTCCCCCTGTTTAGTTCCGTTGCTAGGCGACGGAGGAAGAGGGGCTGACGGGAGAGGCGCAGGGCTCTGTCTGAAAGCTGCGCGCGTCGACGCGAGGCCGCGCAGCCGCCCTCCCTCGCTCTCGGGGCGGAGCGCCCGGGCC